TCATATAATCATTAAAATCTGGTAAGAGGAAAGGAATAGCATTGTTATGAACAACGGTCTCAAGCGTAATGTATTTAGGTGATATATGTTCTAAAAGCGAGTTATAATCGATATCGACTACGGAGAACATCTGCGGTGAACTTGCGACGTGGCAGTCATAACGCTCTGTTGCGCCAGAGGACCAAAACGAATACCGAAGCTGCAAACGAGTGAAAACCGCATTAGTTGTTGCTTTGAAGCTTTCGGCCAAAGTCATACGTCTTGGTCGCCCGTCTGACTCGGTCGTTCACCTTTTTCTCACCAATGAACACAGCGCTCAGCGGTTGAGAGAAAAAACCGATCATCACGAACCTTGGTTGACCGTTGCGAGACAGCTTTTGGTTGAAATTTTCAAGTGCAATTTGTTGTTGTTGATATTATATGAATCCGATGCGCCAACCGGCCGTAATCCCTTTGCCTCGAAGATGAATTCAGATTTTAATCGTCAAGACAATGTTGGCAATTGGCACACAATTTTCACTGTTTTGGTTGCTTGAACTGTTAAATCGGTATTTTATAATTTATGCAACAAAACAAACCGTAAACCTAAAAAGTTAAATCATCATTAATGAATTTAATTCACTATCAATGTAATAAATACTAAAAAATACAGCATAATTGAAGGAACTAAAATCACTTGTAAATATTCAGCTATATGGCATGAGATAAAAATGTGCACCACGCGCTAGGTTGTGGGGAAGTGTGCAACATAATCAAGTAACAAGTAAGTAACTTAATATTAATGCTCATTATCATCATCTAATGGCCAACTCTCCATAAGGGTGTCAATTCCGTGAGAAACATTTGGCACAAGTAATGAAATTTATCATTTCTGCGCTCCAACTTTTAATTTTGTGATCCATCACGTCGTTTGGCTTTCTTTTTGGACATTGCCTAGTATAAGAGTTTTGACTGATGATCGTGATCGAAGGATTAATATTTTTCGTCATACCCGTTTTAAAAGCAATGCGGTTTTAAACTAAGGTAAAGTACCAATAGTTGTGAGTAACGACGTGTTCTGCAAGAAATCAGATGTCCGGTACGTACGAGTTATTCTGGAGGAAGGGATACTTTCGGGAAAAGCACATCGCAATTGTAACTTAGAAAGTAAGTACGTAAAGGCTGCCTCGTTTCTCTGGCGTCTAAGACAAATTCTGGTACCGCAAAAAGTTCTGCAGTCCTTCAGGAAGACAGGCCTATGCCTATGGCCTCTAATACGATATGCCGCGCCAGTTTGCTCCCCAAACCTGACTTAGAAGAAATTGTCCATCCTCCGGTGTTTTATGAAAGAGGCGGCTTTGTTTGATGGATGTGATCACTAGAAAAGTAGTCGAAGTCGAACTGGCGGCTTTAGCGATATTTACTACACAACAGCAGCTTCCAGGTCGAGATACAGTCAGCCATGAGCAAATCCAGACCTGTTGTGTGTCGCAAGGGTCCGTACAGACTACCAATTCTACCCTTTATCGCCAGACGCTTTTGGATCATGTATGTGTACATGAGTCTATTCTTTGAAACTCAATCCTCATAAGCGATTTGATAACGTTCAATCATCATGCTATCATCACGCCTATCATCACATTAAATACTTATTGATTATTTGTATGTCCTTTTCTACCTTATTTGTTTACTCATCTTGCACTCTAATTAAGGCAATTGGTTGTGGTCTTTTTGATCTATGGAGTAAGTTGCATTTGATTGCTTTTACTAATAGATACCAAACATCGCAAATCAGTAAAAACTCTTGGTAGGGGTGAACGATTTTAGGCTTTAAGCTTGCAGTTGTAGAAAGAGGAATTAAAACAGCCATCACAAATGTGTAAGTCATCACTGAATTCGAACCGCTTTTAAAAATCTGTTGCACGATCACGAAGAACTTCCACAGCTCTGGTAAATTAATTCACCAAGTGGTGATCGTGCCACTCGACTGAACCATTTTATTCACTGTTGCATCATCGCCTTCTGTTCATGAGCGCGTAAGCACAGGAGACCGTTTAAACTAGTCACGATTCGTGATATTTTAGCATTAGGTTCGGTGCGTAGATGCAAATGGCATGGTTTTGCTGGCTAAAGCAATAACTCGTTCATTACCAATATACGTCTGTGCTTGAAATACGTATTCACTAGATGAAAATAGCAAATATATGTTCATATACGGTAGGTTAATGAGGAATGATAATAGACGTATAATGTAACCCCACGATAATATGGTGATATATCAGGCTGCATGTATAGATACACTGTAGGTGCTAAAATACTATGGAATCGAGATCTGATCAAATGTTCCCTTAAGACCTGGGAGAAAACTGTTTCAATCCGGAATCAATATCTGTTATTTGAAATCTTCAGGGCGGTATCGAAAGGTCCCCAAGAAATTCGAGGCCATATATTTTGACCAGCGCTCTGCAACGGATCGGGGTAATCTTGACGAAATATATTTTTATTCAACTCCAGTTTGTGACGCGGTCCTGGGTCCTATGCACTGCCGACACTTAAATACCATGGAGCCGTGACCTGCTTAAATGGTCCCCTTAGGCTACTAGAACCAGGGGGCAGTGCAACAGACCTGCTGGTGGAAAGTGAGATATAGACATTTCTTTCTTTACACTGTGCATTTTCGCAGTTTCAATCCGGTATCAATTTTTTAATGAGAAAACTGATGGAGAAGTCACAACTGCGATGGCTTGGGCATGTGCTGCGAATGCCTCCAAAAAGAAAGGTTAAGCAACTGTTCCTTACAAATCCGACCGGCAAAAGGCCCAGGGGACGGCCATGGTTAATCTGGTGCAAACATATGGAAGGAGTCTGTTCCAGACTCCATTTGTCTTTTGCCGAAACTCAGACTCTGGCGCAGGATCGGGAACGTTGGAAGCTCTGTCTGACGTGTCTGCCTCCGCGACCCGAAAGGAGCAACGGCGATGAAAGATGATGATGATGAAAACTGATTTATAAAGCCATCTTGGTGCAAAGACAGAGGCAATGGATTTATTAATATTCCACTGGTGAAAAAAGCTAAGTTCGTGGTTTGACGGATCGGTAGCACAGTGCATTCTAATGAATGCCACTGTTCGAAGACGCGTTTTGCTTGGCAAAATGCTAGTCAAGCAAACGTATGCTTTCGTCAACTGCTACAATGCCAAGCTTCTGAAAAAATACCTAAGAACCTATGTGACTAATTCAACTCATGACAAGGTTATCAAATATGATATGAATTTTCCTAATGTTGCATAGTTTTAGGCATTGTCGCTCCCAGCAATGTGCTTAAATAATTAACGACAAGCATCTAGGTTTGGAACAGTTCACAATTCCGTATACCTGGCCATGGATCCTTTCGCTTAAAATCAGAAGTTAAAAAGTTTCGTTTTGCGTCAGCAGTGAAACTTGTATGTTGTCGAGTTCTGACATTTTACAACAAACAATCTTAAGACCTATCAAACTTCCTTAGAATGTTAATGGAATAAGGATTGTCTGCCCTCAATCTGCGTGTAAAATTTTAACTGAGTAAGGCTCTACAAAAGCTCTAAAGCAAAAGAATAAGAAATAGCGTTAGAGTCCTCATTCAACAGAATACTGTCTGCAAACCACATAGCCGAAAAGATTTGTCATGATGTGTCTGATTGCAGCGAGGAAGCGCTGTTGTCAGTCGTTCATAAATTGGTCTATTCGTGCATTCGAGGTCTCTCTCTAAAATAGCATTATTATCAAGGCGATGAATGGGGCACTGATAAAAAGTCATCGATCGTAAAGGTTATAAACGCTTACTAGATAACCGCAGTCTCCATTTTATAGTTCTAAACACTAGAACAAAAAAAGAATAATTCCGTTATAAATTCTGAGGTGGATTCTGATTAATTTATAAACATCACACGACCCTCTTTCCGTTATGCTGCATGAATAGCGGTCTGGCTAATAGAACGAATAATGCGCATGGTGCTACAAGAACTAGATTAGTCATAGAAAGAAAACAGACTTTCTTTCTCCACGTTGACTATAGCAGTCTAGAAAATCTTATGTACTAACGTTAGTTGGATTACTTTTTGAATTGACGATGATACTTATTGTTGTGATTAAAAGCCGTCAGAATGTAATAATTTCTGTGCTTGAATTGCTTGAGACGTATAACTTTTCTATACCAGTTTTAGAAAGTACTTTTATAAGTGCTTAAAGAAGATTAAGTCGTTCGTTGTAACATTTTTTACTGACGGTCGGCAGAAACCGAAAATTGGCCACAGACTGACCAGATCAGCTCTGGATTACGGGAGCTAAACTGGTCCCAATGATCAAGGAAGATTTGAGCAGAAGTGTGAAGCCTTCCTCTTCAAGTCTGTACACGCGCATATTCGTATTTATGGACATGAGTGATGAATATTTCGAGTGCAGTCTCGACAAACTCAGTAGAAATTAGGCTTCCTCATATTATTTTCTGGTGTGACGAGACTCTCACACTTAT